AGCCCAGCAGACGCCCGACTTCCGGGACAAGCATCAAACTTCCGGTGGCTTCACTTGTGCCCTGCTTGGAGAGCGGCTATGCGCCATCCAGCCCCCTATAATAGAGATGAGTGCATGTACCAATTGTTTGTGAGAAATCCAAACCCGGCTTTTTGCACCGCATAAACAAAGTAGACATTGCGGTGAGCTCCAACTCCGTCAAAACGTAGCCCCAGCCGTTCAAGCAAGATGGCAAAATTTCAACACTTACCATTACTGGAATAAAAAGTTAGAGGTAAAAAACTGTTTTTGCCTATGAGAGGACGCCGTCCATGAGAAGCAGCAGACGAAATGCCTCTGTTTGCGACCGCATCTTACAGATGGCACCACTTGTCCTCGAAGCTTCCTGCGCTCCCCCGCTTGTCTAATCCGAAACGACTGGCGGCAAAGTTAAAATACCTGACAAAAGTATTGTATCCTTGCCCCAAACTTTGTCGGCTACTAAAAGAAGGGAACAAAATAAAATGTGATATTGTAGTCGCTCGGGTTTTTGTATGAAAAGGTGTGCCGATAAAAACAAGCAGACGTCGTCTTCTTCTGTCCTCACGAATGTCGGCAGTCATCTACACACATCTGCATTGATTGTTCATATTCGGTTTTATTTTATTGCCAACTGGTATTCCTTATGCGGCAGTTAACGCGCAAGCAACAAAGGTCGTACTCTGGTACACCAAACTGAGGAGCTTCAAAAAGGTCAAGTGCAAGTTTTTTTTTGGACTAGGGCTTACGGCCACCTTCATAGTCGGTGATCTGGATGTGGGCCCGGTGCTTTGCAGAAGAGTGTAGCGTCAAGAACAAAATGCAGGTCTTCCACGTTCCTCCTCAAAAGGAAGAGCTCTGCTTCGCCATGGTTGGGGCCTTCGGGGCATATCCCCATTTGTATCTGCAAAGAGCCACGCGTTTGTTCGGAGTATCCACACACGCCGTGCGCAAAGATAACGGCGAGATGCGCCGGTACAAGCTTGCTCTGATTCACGAGTTGTTGCCTGGAGACTACGAGAAGCGGCTCGACTTCTGCCGAGACGAGCTCCTCACGATTGCAGTTTCTGTTTAGTGATGAGGCGACATTTCACCTGGACAGGCAGGTGGACACACAGTACTGCTGCTATTAGAGTTCAACAAATCCGCACTTGACGCTCGAGAAAGCTTTGCAGTCGGCGAAGGTCACAGTCTGGTGCGGAATCTGGCGAGAGGGCGTCGTTGGCCCTTTTTCCTACAGCGACAACCTGACGGGAAGCACCTACCTGAAGATGATGCAGGATCAGTTCCTTCCCGAGTTGGAAGCACTGCACATGCAGCAGAACGTATGCATTTTTATGCAGGATGGTGCGCCACCCCACTGGTCGACAAGTGTAAGGCACTGGCTGAAAAACACCTTCTCGGTGACCCCAAGCAGCGGTTCCAGAGGCTCTATGACACTGACAGCATCCAGCAGGCCATGCTAATTGTCGGGGGGCCTGTGCACTGACGAACGTGTGCAACAGCGAGAGGGATGCCCTCCTGGAGCCTCAGGACCCTACCAGGGAGTCTAGTACATCCGTGTCCTTTCCTGAAGGACTTGATGCAGAACCCCCAGTGGAAGGGTAGTTGACAGACACAAATGTGATATTGAAGATATTAAATGTGTGAGACTGGTGAAAATAAAGTGCAACGATTGATCATTATTAGGCCAAATCCAGTAAAGTATTACATATTTCAATAGATGTTTCCCATATATCCAGGCTAAAATGCAGTGTGAGCATTGTGATTTTTAAGTTGGCATTTCTGCACACAAAGTTCAAGCTTACTAAGTCAGACTTTCATGAAATAATTGTGCCATATTATCTCGGAGGCTGGAGCAGACTTCTCATGTAGTAACCGCTTTAAACGACCAGTTCAATATTGCTCGTATAATTCAAGACACTAGTGGTACGGCTGCCTCGGAGTGCTTCAGTATGCCCTATGAGATAATTAAAGTACCAACGAATGCACACAAAAACAAACCTTGATTTAGGGACTGCTTGGTGAAGCAGACCGTTGGGCTCGGTTCTTACTAAAAAGTATAGGAAGTATATGTAAAGCTTTATTTCTTTGTCACCTCAAAGCCTCAACATATCTCTTAAGGAGGGCCATCCTCTCTTGATGCCATCCCTTCTTGTTTTCTTCGCCCTGCCGAAGCAAGGCAAGAAACCCTGTGAGGAGCTCCTGGCCGGTGTTTTTCCGAGCCTTTTTTGGCCTTGCTGGCGCTTCAAGACCAGTGACGGCACTCGCAGTGATGTGATTGGCCTAAGCCATTTTGGAGCACCTTTCGGAGCAGCCAAAACAGTGTTTTCCAGCAGCAAAAGTGGCTTTTGGAGCAGATATTCTTAGAAAAATAAAAATAATTGTTTTAAGTGCTGTACAAATGAAGGGCACATTGTGTTGTGACTTGTGTAGTGTTCTAATGTGACGTGTTGAGACGGAACTCGCTGCTTGTGTTTTTACTGCTTAGACATCCCACAAGTGTACAATGCTGTAGGCGTTGCCGAGCAATTCCGAAAAACCGCTTGCCACCGTTTTACTGGTTCCCGACGTACCAGATTTTCGTCAAAAGTAAGCAAACGTAAAACAATAGATTGCAAGTGTCCCCACTGGTGCCTCTGCCATGCAATCAAGTTCACAAACACGTGAGGGCAACTTCAGCAGGCTTGAAGTTGTGCGTGCTTCGTCACTCGAGCGGAGACAACGGCTGTTCGATGGAAACCGAAACCATATCACTCTGCTCCGTCGCCAAGTGATTCCCGAAATTTTATGCAGAATGTGACTGTCGAGCATACGGGCAAAAACAAAACACCAGAGCACATTGATGCCCGAACATCGCAAGCCAGGGTCAAAAAGTTTTTGGATCGCTTTGTGCAACAACTGAACTCGAGGCAAACAAGCGCGCTGTGCGGGTTCAGCGTGCAGACATTGCCTTCTTTGCTTTAGCTCAGGGCCGTACACAGAAAATCTCTGGGGGGGGGGGGGGGGGGGGGGGGGGGGGTTTCTGGAACTCGGTGGCCATCTTGAATGGCTGTTTTTTGTATTTACTTTTTTAAAAACAAGCATGTAATCGACCTATAATTAACAATAGCGAGTGACGAAATGTTTCACATGCACCATCACATCGAGAGTGAATTGTTTCAAAGCTTACTTCCAGCTTACGACAAAATTTATTTATTGGCCCAAACTCCGCCCCAGTAAGCATGACTTGGGTGAGAGGAAACCGAGGGTAAGAGAACAAGAAAAATATATACAGCCATACTTGACCCAGCTCCCTAACCGCAGCCCCGCGCATCCTCCGCAGGGTCCGGTGTCACTCGGAACCCCTGCGACTACAGACACAGCTCGGAACGAATTTTCGTCATTCTCTTTCCATCCTCTTTTCAATGCGCGAAACACCCCATACGGACCATATCCCCGGCAGGCCCCTCAAAGCCCCTGAGGCGTCGCACGCTCGCGGTGTTCTGGGAAGTTGGACTAACGAACAGAGAAGCGATACGAGCTTTCCTCAAACGTATGTGTTTATTGCTCGAGCGAACATTTTCTCTGTGTCACCTTATAATAAGCTGCAGCGGGCGCTACGAGCCATCCCAGCCAATCCAGCTCCGAGTGTCACCTTACCCTCTGTGGTGCGCTATGCGAAGTTCAACGTCATGTGATTCTCTCTCAGCCCTCGATTGGCGAAGACGATCTCTAGCATCCGCTACGGTCCACTGGAGCGTGGTATGAGGATGGGGAAGCGAGGCGCCTGGGGATCTTCTGCCGAGGGGGATGGCACCCAGGCACTTGGATGAGAGGGGAAAACAGGAGGGCGTTATCGGAGTGGTTCTGAAAAGACCGGTCGTGGGCCGGGTGCGTTACGGTTTTCGGGGTGCGGCGAAGACGCGCTGGAATTCACGCGCCTCTGGTTAGCAGTAATAGTAAGGAGTGCTGTGTTGTATATACAGGCACACGTGCACCCCTAACAGCATCGCTGGAACTTCAGCGGGTCCCCCACTGGGTTTCCTGATCCAGTGACTTTAGTGAAATCGATGCCACCCCGGGCCTCTTTCGAAATGCGCCCCATCGCTCCTCCCTTCCCCAGCCGACAGTGAAAGGGGGGGGGGGGGGGGGGGGGGCTCGACTATATTTTTTTTTGGGGGGGGGGGGTTCGAACCCCGAAACCCTCCCCCTGGGTACGGCCCTGCTTTAGCTCACTTCTCTTCACCAACTTTCTTATCACGGCAGATTTTTCACATACCGGGGTCCCTTTCGAAAGAAAGCCCGCCGAGAGAAACCTAGGTAATCAATACCTCGACACAGCTAGAAGTCTTTGAGTTCAAGAGGGATTTTTGTAGTAACATATGTTTTAAGCAAGAACAGGAATGTTGATCAACATGCGGTGGTACTTAGTTTCATTTTAGAAAGCGCCATATCTGCTGCGACGTGGGGACGGCCACACCCGACGTCGCACGACCACGATGACTAGAAGGCAGAGACCAAATATACTTTTCCCGCGGCTGTTGCTTGCAGCAGCGAGCGCTTCAGTTCACAAAGTAACTCCCGCCGCGCAAAAACGCGGTTTCGTTTCACAGTATGACGGCATGGCTAGTACCCGGTACACTATAGCGTCGGAGCCTCCGTCTCACAAAAGCGAGACGAGACCCACGAGACGACGAGAGAGCGAAACGCCAGATTGCGGGAAAACCATGCAGGACCGGAAGGACAATTGATGCAGGGTACTTTGTGACGGTCGGCCGCTTGCGCCACATAACACACGCACTCTCAATTATACAGTGCTCAGTTTAGTTTCGGCTTTGAAAGGCGACCGAAATTGTTTTTCTGGCGCAGGCTTGGCGCAGATTACCCATATTTTGGCAAAATGTAGCAGGATGTAGCAGGGTTAGCCCCTTGGCGCAGTTTGGAGCAATTGGCGCAGCAATCACATCACTGCACTCTGCCAGTGTCTGCGCCGTCCTGGGCCGGAGTCTTCACACTCGTGCCAGCCCCTTGGTCTGCAGGGTTCCTGCGAAAACAATCCATTCATACAAATTCAAGCCCTATCAATGTTATTGAAGTGCAAAACATCTCTTCGTGTAGTACACGAGTCAAAGAAAAGTAAACAACGGTGTTGTTTTAATATACGCCAGTGACTCTCAAAGGCATGAACAGAGGCAGGCAAGGAGTTTCCTGCATGACGGCTTTGCTTTCACCTTGCATAGTATTGTATGCAACTGTCAGGCGTTAGTTATCAATAAACTTATTTTGATTTATCTGTGGCTCTTGCACCATTCCACACTTAGTCCACGTTGCCTCATTTAAAGTGTGCGGGTAGTCCATCGTACAACAGATAATGAAAGCACAGTGCTCAACTCTTTTTGCGTCGTTTCACACTTGCACTTTCGTGCACAAAACAGATGTGAACAAATGTAGGCAAATCGTGCAAGCCCAACTGTTAGTACATATTCACACTTTATTCCACAGGTAACACACTCTGGACAACACAAAATATATCCATGCTTTTTATTACGGAAATGAAACTACGAAGAAACATGAGGTCGTACTATAGCATCAACACGATGTATTTTGTGAGAAGTGGTTAAAGCATTGTTCTCAAATAAATATACTTGCTGACCTCTAAAATGGTTGCTTTAGATTTTACATATTGGCACTGTGAGATAGTGTGAGCTGTCATTTCATGAGCAATAGAATTATTCACTCTGGCTCCAATTTCCTAAAGGGTTTGCCATATGCACACCCCTATACTTCCCTCTTTTGGCTCCTTCACATTTCATGGTGTGCTGCTCTGCAGCGCACAATTGCAATGTGGTATAGCGTGCTTAACGGCCAACAAAACTGAATCGAGGCCCAAGCATCCTCAAGTGTATGTTCATTCATGAACGCTCTGGTCCCTTATACCCAGGACTGTCAAAGTCAAGCTAGCTCAATTAATGACGTCATTATGGCTACCAGTGGTGATGAATACGCTGGCATCTTCACATCATCCAATATAATTTGCCAAGCAAATGATGTTTGAAATACTCATCTGGATCAAGTATGGCTAAAGTTGACTTTCCTATGAGACCCACACTGGACGAGTCTTCTTTAATGACATGAGTTTTGGTTACTATGACCATATTATTACGACACCTCAGATATGATTAGGAAGTTCCAGAAGTAGCTCAGAACTGATACACAAGTTATTGACTAGAAGCATAAATGTTATGTATGATTGATGAAGTAAAATGCTCTTGCAAAATCAATGAAGGCACTTCACATCAATTCATTGTCTCTGCCGTTTCCTGAGTAAAGTTTCACTACAGAAATATCATTTTATGTATGTTTTCAAAATCACTCTCTGACAAACATAGAATGTTATCAGAATGTGAGGATCATGCATGAGGTTCTATACATTGGGTCATAAGCAATCCACTTTCAATGTTTTATGTTTGAACAAACCTGAACATTCTGATGCATATACTAATCAGTGTTGTGTTCGGGGCCAAATGGCCGCGGAAGTGGTAAGAACCAGACTACGACCAGACGGTGCCCCAACTAGAAAAAAATGACGACTTTGCTTGTCCTGTGCAATATTGTACAGAGTCGTGGTGGTGGTGCCATCTCACGGAAGGTGCCACAACTACAAGTCACCAAAAGGTGTCGCTTCACGGCTCTACACACTGCCTCAAGTTGCTTCACATGAGGTGCCGTGAAAATAAATTGGCCTGTGTTTTTTGCTATGTGTTGACTTATGAACCATGCTTGTAGTTATTTTTTATTAGCACTATAATTTTGCCTGCTTAACTCTTTTAACAATTATTTTAGAAGCTTAATCCTTACCAACAATGAAGTACCCCAGTAGGTATTTCTATTTTAGAAACACCCTTTTTTCAGCTAAGTAGTCACCATCTTTGAAATGTTCACAATATTTATTATACTGAAATGTTGCAGTAGTTGACTGAAAGTACCTTCAAGTGCAACCCAATCAATGTGTTATAGATTTATTGGTATTTCATTTAACCTACATTTCAATCTTATCAGTGTTTCATAATAATATATGATGGCAAGGATTTGAGTTTTTGACAAAAGGATGCTGGAAACCCAATCAGGAAGTACCAAAATGCCTCTTTATCTAATCCAAATGTTTCTGAAAAGCCTCGAGACATTATTCTCTCTCGTCTTAGGAAGTGTTACCATCACCCAGTCTAGGCTTCCCTTTACCCCACGGTATGTCCCCCTTGTTCTGAGACAGGTTTTTATGTAAATTAAAGATAAGTGTACAGTCACTCACTGGCCATGGCTCTGCATTCGTCCAGGGCCAAGCAGGAATACAGGGTTCACTCTCCTTTTCGAGCACTTCTTTAAGGTCGCTTAAAATAAACATATCCACAAGAATGGAGACTGAGTTTTTACCAGCTTCTCTGAGAGACTGTTGATTCCATTCCTTGATCCAGCAGATCATGAAACATGGTGACATTTCATTTAAAAAATGGAGAAATAAAATTTTGCTTTGAGAAATGGTGTCTCGTCCTTACTCTGAGAGCTGCTTGTAAAACCAAGTATGTGCAGCACGCGACATGAAAATTTCCATACACGTCACTCTGTAGGCTATCTACACCAGGCACACTGGCCACTACAGAAAACAGAGCCCGTTACTATTTTCAGTCCACATAAACCACTTCCCATATATTTCTAACACCACAATTCGGTTATATGCGGAGGACCATGTGGTTAATAGAAAAAAGATTTAATGTATCTGGCTATCCTTTTACAAAGTGACTTGTTGCGTGGTTGGTCGTGGTGTCCAAAATGGCAGATGAAGATCAACTGAAGCAAAACTAAATTTTTCAGCTTGCTACAGAAGTACCCAATTTGGTCATTCACTGTTTAGCGTATCAATTGAAGCTGTAACGACATACAGATATCTTGACAGAAAAATTATTTACACCTTTTCATAGGAATCACAGATATATATATACCATTGCGAAAGGTAGCCAAAAGATCTTTATCGTCTTTATTAGGTCTCACAAAAAAGTAAACCCATAGCGTATAATACTTTCATCAGTCCTCAGCTAAAATATGCATCGCTGTTCTCGAATTGTATCTGGATGCCACACAAAACCAGGCTGATCGCTTCATCCTTCCTAATTAGGGTGCCAGTTGAAATAAGCCCTTCTTTTTGGAAACAGTGAAGAAAATGACCATTTTTTATATGTCTGCAAACAAATGTATTACAGTTTTCCTACAAAAAAAGCACATACTCTCTGCTGGCTCTTCCTATCTATCTTTGCACACACCGTCCTCTAAAAGCTCAACTAGTCGGCCCAAGCACATCGTTGTGAAATAACAAAAGTAGATACTTTAAATCTGCCATATCACCACTGTCCATATCACTTTTTAATATTGAGTTTAAATGTGTTAAAAAAAATGTGCTCATTTAAATCTGCCTTTTACTTTGATAGTTCAACCCCTCCTCCATTACTCAAAGGCTTCTATTGGGATTTAATGGTGATGACAAATAAAATGAAATGGCCAAAGTTAATATAGTGCACTATCATTTCCTTACGTTTTTGCTAAATAGAAACACATAATCGTCAGACAGCAGGCATTGGTTCAGGTACTTGCGACGCATTCTTGTGCCAAAAAACATTTTCGCATATCGCACAAACATTCTCAAATAAATTGGTAGACCTGGAAATAACTACCTGACGATAAAGACAGCTTTTTTAATTCACTAACATATCTTGGTCGTCGAAAAAAGATTAACGTCGGCACGCATATGTTACAAAAGAGTCGCCCTTGTTTTTCGTTGTAACGTAAGTTGATAAATTTCCGCATATTGCTAAACAATAATACACATACAAAGATTTTTTTTTTTTTCAATTTTTGAAATAAAACGAGGATTTTTCTCGAAAGAGCACTTTCGAACAGTCGCGAGTTTACTACAGCAATTTGCCTGCAGCCGGATATTTTTAAAAACCTGCGCTGGCAAGCTTACACAAGTCATGATTCCGGGCGTCTGAGTATAGACCTATTGCTAAACTACACAAGCATCAAGAAGAATAAATGCAGGGATCGGTGTTCCATGCGCCACACGAGCCTGCCTTCCCTGTATAAATGGTTCGAAGCGATGAACCAAAATAAAGGGTTGACAAACGAGCGTGCAAGATGCAATTTGTTTTGGGCATTTGCTTTAGAAAAGCCAGCATGTGTGGTGCATGGAACACCATGCGCCACACATGCTGGCTTGGGTAATTTACAGAGCCAGTAATTTAGCAATAGGTCTATTACCTCTCAAACTTGCACGTCACCCGATCACTTGCAGACGTAGCGTTTCGCTTTTTCGTGTTTGGAAATGCCCCATTGAGGCGTCCGGCTAACTTGTACGACAATTGCTCTTTATTTTTTGCTCCATGGCCTTTCGAATTTTTTTACAACTCTATCAGATATTTCGACCGTTTTCCTCCCAAATGTTTCCTCCGCTTTCGTTGTCTTCTTCGGTCACGTCTGTGGAGAGTTCTGATGGCGCCACACGGACCTGAACCCCGTCTAGAAAACACACGAGGCAGTTTTCGTGTTGCTCGGGTCGGTAACACTAGTACCTGTCACTTACCTTCCGTGACAAAAAGCGGCAAGCCGCCGTAGAGTGCAGGCTCACCATCGCCCCCGTAGACGCGAGACAGAACGGCTTCTTTGTTGCCGATGATAGCGCAAATCGTTTGGGAGTCCATTTTGTCGTCTGCAACGTCGTCTGCTATCATGCACCTGCCAAAACAGCCAAAACGAACGAGTGCAGGAAGTGTATGTCAGGTGTAAAAATGGCTTTACACTTCTGTAAAAATTAGAGTGCCTTCATACAACGCGCGCTTTTGCTTGAGTGGTGACATCTCGGCCATTTTTCCGCCCAATCGTTTTTTTATGCATTTTGAAGCGCACGCAATCTGGTGTCACTCAGCTCGAGCACTTAGCTTTGGTTAATGCATAGACGCCATTTTACCGCCCAAGTCACGCACCGAGTGCGCGAGA